CACCACCGCTGATCCCCCCCACCGATGCCTGAACGCGGAAGCGATGTGTATTACATCACTTCCGCCTTCAGCGGTCATTTCTCAGAGAAGAAGCTGGTGAAGCATATCCCTGCTTTATCAACTTCTTTGGGGGGTCCCCAGGTGACATTAGGGGTCTTAGAGACCTCTGGTGTCTCCATAAAGAGGACCCGTCATTGTATATTGGCTATTACAAAGGGGACTTGTTACCCTCCTATGTGATGGCAATAAAGTAAAAAAAAAAAAAAAGATAACAAAAAGGCAAAAACAAAATGTAAATCCCCCGCCCCCGCACATATAAACGTAAATACGCGTCGGGTGCGCCTACGTGCGAAAACAAAGATTACACCACACATGTTGCATATCACCGCGAACGTCGCAGTGAGAGCAATAATTCTGGGCTCATTGCTCACTGCGCGCAATTTTAAAGCTTGACATGCTTGGTGTCTATTTACCCGACGTGACCCCGTCTTTTATATTTTACCAAACAATTGGGGTAATAATAATTGTTTCCTAACATAACATTAGGGAAAAGTTTTTTTCCCGAAAATTTTCGGTGCTTTTTTTATTCTATAGTAAAAAAATAAAACCCCCAGGTGGACAGGAAGGGGGTGTGGCACCCCGGCCATCAAATTGTTAAATCTTACCCCAAAAATGAACACATCTCTGAACTGTTAGGCCGAAACTTCCCTAATGCACCAAACACGATAGTCCTGTATCATAATCAGGGTGGTGCCTAAACCCCGGAGCTAGATGGGGAGGGGGGGAGGGGATAAAACTAGTTGGAGTAAAATGAGGCTCTGGGGCCCCCTTTAGGTCAGCTGTGCTCTGTCCTGGACCGGTTCCGTCTATTTCCTGCTCCGGCTTTCGGTGTCCGTTATGCAGCAGAGACCTTTGTACTCTTCTGGACTCAGAGTGAACTGGGAGAAGGTGTTCAGGAATTCCTCCAGCGGGCAGAGGCTGGATCTACAACCTTTCACCACCCGTACCTGCAAAGGAAGAGAAGAAGAGGTTCAATGCCATCCCCCCCGTGTGATCAGACAGACACATTCAACTGTACAAACCCCACACATGCTGATGTCATCTCAAAAAAAAGTTTTTATGCTAGAACAGGAACTGCTTGTTCAAGCACTTCCTGTTATAGGGTGACAACACTTTGTTCCCGTCTCCCAGTTGTCCTGATGCATTGCCACCCTGTCACATGCTTTCCCAATAAAGTCTACATTACACAGGGATAGTCCACTCAGGAAGCCCGCCCCTTATAAATGCCAGGAAGCCATCGCTGGAGCGCATGCAGACAGGAAGTGACTGCAGGAGATCAGCAGCACAGAGATGGAACACAGCATAAAAAAACCTCCTGATGTGCTGCGTGATCAGAATCAGAGCAATAAACTTAACGGTGTCATAGCAATTAGTGTTTGCATCAAAGGCCCCCCC